CCCCCCCCCCCCCCCCCCCTTTCCGTCGAGAAGGCGTCTTCTCGCCCCAGGAGGGCGGGGAAGACCACCGGCGGCGGCGGCGGCGGCGGCGGGCTTACCCTAGCTCCGCCCCCAGGGGACACGGCACGAAAAACGGGCGGAGGAGGAATCGGTCTGCTAGCGCCGCCGCCAGGAGACACCCGGCGCGCCCGCGCCACAGCTAAGCCGTCCTCGCCGGCGGCGCCGGCGATGCCCAGCGGAGGAGGACCATCGTACTCTCAGGCTCCATCGGGCGTCGGAAGTAGCAACAGTAGCAGCAGCAGCAGCAGCGGTTCCGCCGGCGCGATAGGCAGCAGCGCCGCCACTCCCTCTGCGCCACAGCAGTTGTTCCCTGGGGTAGGAGGAGGTGGCGGGGGCCAGGGGTCGGGGATGATGATGCCCACCCAGCAGGCGGCAGGCGGATCGGGTTCCCAGGGCGGAGGCGGTGGCACTGGGCTGCTGGGGATGTCGGGGGGGGGCACTACAACAACGCAACCACCCCCCCCGTCGGCGCGACCAGATGACGACGACCCGTTTGGGCTGGGACTGGGGTCGTCGACTGCTGCGCCGGCGGCGGCGGCGGCGGCAGCAGCAGCAGCCCCGCCGAGACAGCAGGGCGCGGAGTTCTCCTCTTTCGCGTTCTCTCCCCCCCCCCAACCCCAGCAAGGGGGCCCCGCCGCCGCAGGAGAGTGGGGGGGGGGGGGGGGGCTCTCCGATATGTCCGGGNTGCCAGGTGGTGGTGTGGGATCGCTGGCTCCGCAACAGCGAGCGGCTAGCGCGGGTTTGCCGCAAGCCGACCCGTTTTCTCAACCAGCACCCCCGGCGATGGGATATCCATCGGCATCTCCTCCTCCGCAGGGGGGGGTTGGGGGAGGAGGGGACGCTGGCGGGGGGGCACCGGGGAATCAGACCGTGAACAACCTGCTTGAGGATCTGTTCTGAAGTTGTTGCGAGAGAGGAGAGGGTGGCGTGGTGTTGGGCTGACTGTTGTTCAGCAACAACAGCAGCCCTTCCAAGTGTGAGGGCTGGTTTTACATCGGATCAAGTAGAAGCCCGTTGGATTGCGGCGCTCTTCCGAACCGGATTTCGTTCGTGCTTCCTTGGTACAGACAGAGGCGTTTTGTCCATCGACGGGGAGGACCCGGTAAGGGCGGGGAGCGGTCGGTAGGGGGGTAAGTAACACCTAATTACCAGTTCTCTTTTCGTTTGTACCATTGGTTGTGTGCTGTTTCTCGAACGAACGTAGATTCGTCACGACCACCTTGTTTGGGACGGAACGAAGGGATACCGTCCCTCGTTTTCTGGGTCCCGCGTGACGGAGCTGCTGCTGTGCGTTTCCAACGCTTGACGCTTTGTGTGCATCTTTTTCGTTCCCTTCCTAAATCAATCAATCGTTTCGAGGTACTTTGAACTCCTTTTTGTCCGTCCATTCACATCCCTTCTTTCTGCTTCACCCTTAAATCCTGTGCCCCTATGACGGGTGTACAAATGTAGTCCTTTTATGCAGGGGGAGGGGGGGCAAGCGGCTCTTCCTCTAAGGTGTACTATAGAACCCTCCTTAAATTCTACCAGTGCTAGAGATCGTGGGGGGAGGGGGAGGGGGAGGGGGAGGGCGTATCTTCGTGCGCATTGACGGTGACACCAACTCGCTGGATTGTGCAGGAGGTCAGATTATGCTTCCACTGCAAACTTTGCAAAGTACGTAAGCACGGCGGAGAGCGCACATGACACCGCACTTGGCGACTCGACTCGTACACCGCGCTTGACGCTCCTTGTCAAGCCTTAAAAGCAAAGAAAAAAATATACACAACGCAATGCATCGTTGTTGTGAGCGTTTTTTTTCATGCTTTCAAGCCTCTTGCTCTCACCGCGGAGTCGCCGAGAGCTTGATAGGGCGTCCGCCCTCGGTTGGTTCCTACCCCCCGCCACTCTGACAACGCCGAATACCGCAGGTGACATGACGTAGACCGGACGGTTCGAACTCCGCCATTTTTTGGTACCGTCGCTCCTTACCTTGCCGAGTCATCAAGCTTTGAAAAGCGGCCCGAGGGGTGTGGTATCTTACGTCATGTCACCTACGGTGCCCTGTCTAGATTCGAAGTGATGCGCCATCCTCTGTAAGGTAAGGTACACGAATACAATGTGAAGGTGAACACCAGTTTGATCATTCAACGTTCCGGCCACCTGCCTCTTGCTTTTGCGCCTCGCGGCTTGGTCATCACCTACGGCAAGTCAATCTGGCGCCCAGCGCCCGGCATGGAGAATAACACACGCTTCTTTCTTCTTGCCAAGTCTTCGTACAAAACCTTTCTTCCTTCCCTGCCTGGCTCCGCCGTAACCCCCGGCGGGCACGACGTCCTCCTGTCAGCTGTTTCCCTACCTTGGTCGCAAGAGGAACCACATACAAATGAATATTCAATTCACACTTCAATAAATTCAACGGAACATACGCCTGTCATCGATACACCGCAACGCAACGACCCAGAAGAAGTCATCAACCAAAGCCGTTTCGCACTCGCCGCTTTCTCTGCCGCCTCCGGCCGCAACAGCAGTCAAAACACAAATAGCACAAAAAAACACAAAAAAACACAAAAAAAGAGCGGAGCAACCGAGGACGACTTTTCGACACCAAACCCTCGATAAAAATACACGACACGGGACAGCTACAGCGAGTAGTAAGAGGAATGGAAAAAGCAGGGTCAAAAACACGTTCTGACCTACAATGATGCCTTTGGTGACAAAAGCTGTTGTGTCGCCGTACACCCGCCATGTTCCCCTTCTCTCTTCCATCCCTCTCTGTCCGTGAAAAAACACGTGCTGCCAGTCTCTCTCTACCTGCTGTACATCATTCACGAGCCGGGCTCTGATTATTCCCTTCCTTTGAGGGTGGTGCCACTCACGAGATAGACCAGGGCCCAAGGCCGGGCCCAAGTTGTGCCGTACAAAGGTCCATATCGAAAGGCATGCGCTCCAAGTAACATCCATTCATCACGCGTGGTTACAACACCGTTTCTGCTTCCTGTTTCGCCACAAAGATTGAACTTCGAAACAGCTGGTACAGATTGATGCCCTTCCCGAACGAAAAAATAATAAATTTTTTATCTACTTGGCACTGGGGGGAAAAAAAAAGGAAGAGAAAACGCTAAAAAAACATCAAAAGGCGAAAAACGGCCCCTCTTCCTGTGTCTCAATAGCCGAGCAGCCCGCAACATTTTTGAGGAACCGCGCGCGATATTTGCACCGCACGGTTCGGTCGGCAACACACCTACAAGACAACCCCGCCCAGGAGGCACGAATCGCGCCAACAAAAACAGAGCACTACAACACCCTAACCCGTTTGCTGTACATATATTGATACGTGTGACGAGAAGAAAGTGTTCGGTCTCTCGCGCGGAATAGGAAAGGGAAGGGGTGTAACACAGATGTGGTGCCACAAAAATCAACACACATGCACCAACGGCAGCACCGTTCCTCGTCTCTCTCGACCACTGGTGTGTGCGCCGTACGAGCATCAAGAGGGCGGTCGGTTCATAAGCGCGTAATGGACAAATACATTCTCGCCACCATCCATTGCTGTCGGTGTCACGACGTCCCTACAAAAAAAGATGCCGGCCGCCCGCAACAAGATGATCGACATTTGTTCATCTCGTTATATACGTCGGCAACGTGAACCGCCTGCTCTGCTGGAATCCCAAACCAAGAGAGCCGAACACGCCCCCCCCCCCCCCC